CATAGCTTTCAGAGATAGCTTGCAGCCCCTTTGTGCTTAGTATGTCATTGTTGGACCTTTATGGAGATGGATGACAAAGGGAGAGAGATTGATTAAAGCTTTAGGATATTTGTTTCATTTGCTTATCTTTGTACCTGGAGATTTATACTACAGGCTGTAGTTTTTGAGCTTCTTTGTAGTTTTTGAGTTTCATTGATGTTTTTGAGCTTTATGGATGTATCTCTTGAGTTTGAGATAGATTGTATCATGTGAGAGATGGGACTTATGCTTATGCTTTATGGATGTATCATTTGAGACTCATGTGATAATATAATCTATCTTAGTGGTTTGTGGACTTGAGAAAATGTGTATTGAGTGCTATGTGTGACATATATGTGTTGTATTTATTTTCATAAGGACCATGCATAGAATGAAAATGTTTGATGTGATGCTTTTATATTTATTCTTATATGATATATCTTGTCATATGCATCACGGTTTTACTTTATCACACACACTTGCACCCTACGAATGCAATGATTTAGGGGGAGTCTCCTATATGTTTTAGTATATGCAATTGACATTTGAGGTCATTTTCTGAATTCTAGTCATAAGCACATATTAAGGGGGAGCCTCACATAAATCATTGAACCTAAAAGCTTAAATGTTTATATTCTTTTATAAGCTTTAATCAAGTTGTCATCAATCACAAAAAGGGGGAGATTGAAAGTGCATCTAGCCCTTTAGTGGGTTTTGGATGATTGAATGACAACATGATTAAAGGTCTAACCCATTTGCTAAGTGTGGACAGGTAATAGGTTATCTCATATGTACTTAATGAAAGCCAAAATGATGTGTTGTTGTATAAACAATCTAGTTCAAGCATAAGACAACAATACAAATGGAATTCATGCAAATGCTTATTTATTGTGGGATTTTCATATACTATATGAAAGAAAGCACGGTAAAAATTAGTTGATGAGATATGAGGGATTTGTATATGGAATGGTCTCATATTTGAAGCTTGCTAAATTAAAATAAAAAATATAACAACACAAATGAATGGATGATTTAATATAAGATGTGACTTGATGGCTTGAGATGGTGAAGATAGCAAGGAAAGGCTTTGAGGTACTAAGCAAGGGTGAAGGGCAAGCGATGGCTTGGCGGCCGAAGAATCTAGCTAGGGTGAAGAAGGAAGTACTTGCATTTAGTTAAGGTACTAATCAAGCTATGATGATAATATTGATGTGGAGTATCAAATCACTATTGGAGTGTTTGATGGAAGTGACTTGATACATTTGGTATTATTCATATTTGATGAATGGAATTAAGTCACGTGCTCAAAATGGCTATGTACAAGTGAAAAGATCAATATCAACATGTTGGCACCCTTACTTGATGAAGATTGAAAGACACGGCATCAATTCAAAAGAGATCAACTCAAGCGGTATAAAATCGTTTTCCCTTTGATATTGAGTTTAATAGGTATGTCGTACTATTAAGAGGGATGCATCATGTTGATCGATGATTCATAACTGCTCATGCCAACCCATGTGAGTTTTGAGTATTTGAGAGACAAAAGAGCTAACTTGTTTTTGCTGTCCGGTATTGATACCGGACGTGTCCGGTATTTGCTCAGTCCCGGTAAAATATTTGGTGTTCTCGGATTGGTTCGTTGAGAGTTCTGACATGAGTCGGGAGTTCCGGCAATCGTCGGGACTTCCGACGTCTCGCGCTTAACTGACTTGGAGAGTTCACTATCCTGGTCATGTACGACGAGCCCCCAACTAGTTTTCAAATGAGCTAAAGGTTAGGAGTTCCGACGTGAGTCGGGAGTTCCGACAGTCGGGAGTTTCGGCATTCATCGAGAGTTCCGAAGCCTCACAACGATACTTTACTCAATTACCGTTGGTGTAGTGCAAGTCATACCGCAGTATGGCAACGGCTAGAAAACGGTTAGTTTTTTAAAGGGGCTATAAATAACCCCAAGCCTCCACCTTTGGGGGCTGCTGATTTTGCTGATTCTCCAGTACGTTTTTGAGCTTTATCAACTCTCTCAAACCCTCTCTTAGTGAGTGTGTGATCCAAATCATAAAATTCATTTATGGGTTGAGAGAGAATTCTAAATTGAGAGCAAGCTACCACTTGAGCTCTTGTGCATATTATCTATTTCATGATTTGTATTTGTTACTCTTAGACTCTTCCGTGCTAGACGGTTACGCGTCGTCGAAGAGCACCCGAGAGATTGTGGTGTTCCTCGAAAAGTTTGTAACGGTCAATTCCGCCGCTTCGGAATGAACTAGTGGAAGGAGAAAAAAGAGTTGAAAAAGAATCCGACTAGAATAACCTTCGTGATACCCTCTAGGGCTGACCTTCGTTGGGTCGTCCGCTGCCCCCTCAACGGAGAGTAGGACTCAAACGAGTCCGAACTTCGGTAAAACAAATATCGTGTCTCAATTCGTATTTCATTTGATATTTATGTTGCTCTAGCTCTTGTGCAGGTTTTCTGTGTATCTTGTCATCTCTAGTAGGTACTTGCAGTTTGGTTTGAAGAGATAAATCGAAAGGAGCAAGTTTGGGGCTGATCTGCAAAAACCGTGTATACCGGACACGTATGATATTGATTACTGTGCTAGGCTGTTCTGCAGAACACTTGTATACCGGACACGTCCGGTATTAGAGCTCAGTGCTGAATTTATTTGATCCATGTTCGAACTCTTGTGTTGCAGGTTCTAGGCTCCTAGGATTATTTAATATCTTTTATATACTCTGTGGCTAACTTGTGAGGGGTGGTATTACTCTTATGTAGAGTTTTTATTTTAGAAATTTCCATTACTAAATCGTTTCCATATTTAAAGGTGTTAATTTTCAGAAACACTTATTCACCCACCCTCTAGCGCGACATCCTAGGTCTTTTCAAAAACACTATTGGCTGGCTGATAAGCTCTGACTGAAATCAACAAGCGAACATACTAGTTATACAATGGTTGTCTATTTATATGTTGTGCTCATAACCATCAGCTTCTATTATTTAAAAAAACATCAGCTTCTAACGTGAGACTAAACATAACAGAATTTGAGCAATTTTTCATATTAGATATTTTTTAACTCTTCTCAGTTCTAGTTGTATGCCCGTGCTGATATCAAATTACTGTAATTTTGCATTCCGTGGTCTATTTCCCTATGTTACGTTGAGACGTATGGAAAAATGAAACAATGTATAGTTTTTAGATAATGATACCCTTAGGGCGTCCGTCTTTTTCCGGACGGGACCGACCCACCTGCCCCACGCCTCGCGCTGTGCATCCTCCCTCGTGCCTCACGCCCTCGCCTGCATCTCACGGCTCGCGCTGCTGCTCCCCCACGTCTCGCGCCTCCTGCCACGGCCATGATCCATCTGCTGTCGACCGTGGGCGATCTCGAGCTCCGTGTCAACAAGCCTCCATTAGGGGGCAGCAAGTAGATGAACATATGTTGCAACCGTATATTTCATGCGTTTCAAATGTACGTTGCATATGTTTTATCTGGATGTTGTAAAAGTAGATCTGGTGTTGCATATGTTGTGGCTATACACGTATGTTGCAAAGTGTTGTTTCAAATGTTTAAGCTGTTTCAAACATATGTTGCAAGTATTTTTATCTGGATGTTGTACTGGCTATACACGTATATTGCAAGTGTATGTTTCAAATGTTCTAGCTGTTTTAAACGTATGTTGTAAATGTTTTATTTGAATGTTGCATATATTATAATGACCATACACATATGTTGTAAGCATATGTTGTAAATGTTTCATCTGTTTCGGACGTATGTTGCAGCAAATGCTTTATGTTCCAAGTGTTGCATGACTAGGTGTGGGAAGTGGACGCAGGTGGAGGTGGTCCCCTCGGGCGCAGCAGTCCCCCGTGTGCGTGTGGGAAGCGAAGTGGGCTCGATGGCCCCATGTGCATGCGCAGGCGCATGCGTACCGCAGCAACAGGCGAAGCCGGTAGCGCGCGAGCAGGTGTGGCAGTAGCGCGGGCCAGGCGCAACAGCAGTGGGTGGGCGAGTGGGCAGGAGCTGCATGCATACGCGTGGACATGCAGTAGACGCGGGTGTCCGGATGGACGCCGCGTCTGGATGTCCGAGCGTCCGGGTGCTAGTCTTTTCCATAGTTTTTTAGACCATCCCCTGTTCGCTTGGCTTATAAGCCGTATTTTTTCAGCCAACGGATAATATTTTTCTCTTACAACAAATCAGCCAATGATACTTTTAGGCATGACTTATCAGCCAAGCGAACATGACACGTATTGATACGGACATCACTGCTTCAAGGTATGCAATAACAATTCCAAATCCGTCGTTGCTAAAGACCTTTTAGAGCTTATTATTAGATCAAATTGGTTGGACGGGAGGCGTGAACCGCTCAGGCTCGAGTCCTCTTTCCTCTCCAACTCTAACTTATTTTTTCATACTAGGTTATTTGACTTTGAATTTGATATTAATATATGTCTAAATTATAATTATTAGAATGAATTTAATTCTAAGGATCTAAAAGGGGCCTTGATGAAAATTTGCATAATTCCACATTTTTTTACGATTGGTGCTAACTTGCTGATATCAAACTATTACTAAAAAAAAAGCATTACAATTTTTTTACTTCCTGTAAAAGTCTCGCGCATGTCTCTCTATTCTGTTACGGAGTACAACGTATAGCCCCAATGGCCCAGTTCGTTGCACAGTACGAAAGCCCGGCCCGACGATAAGGAAAAGGCCCAGTTTGGCAATTGCAGCCCCAAGCCTCCAGAGTCTCCCACTCCCCATCGGGCATCGGCGCCGCCACGGCCGACGCTTGAGACGCTCGCCGCCGCCTGGCAGGCCGCCACCGCGCACGACTCCGTCTTGCTGTCCTCCTTCGCCGCCTCATCCTCTCCTCCCCGGTTCTCGCCCCTAACACTAGCACTAGTACCAAGTCGAGAGGCGTCGTCAAGGGGCTGTCCAACGCGCCGGCGACCCCCTCAACCACCGCAGTTTCGCCGCAGATGGACTTCCAGGTCGTCGTCCTCGCCGGCGGCACCTCCGACTCCGAGAAACTGTCGCCCCTCGTTTCCAAGGTGGTATCCCCCCTCTCTCTCCTTTTCCCCATCCCACCTCACCTCATCCATGTTAGTCCCGCGTCTTAACCTCTACCTAAGCATCCTCCTCTTCACTGCGCAGGACGTTCCGAAGGCGTTGCTCCCGGTCGCCAACCGCCCCGTGCTCTCTTACGCGCTGGACCTCCTTGAGGCCAGCGACCTCAAGGACCTCATCGTGGTGAGCTCCTCGCTCTTCCGCTTCTCTTCCTCCCGTCACGGGTGTGGTCCCAACTTCCCAAGCCAGCCACGAGCAGGATATTATTTGGCTGATGTGGTGTGGTGCAGGTGGTTGAGGGGCAGGAGGCAGCGCAGCTTGTCGACGCTTGGGTATCCAGCGCGTACCTGGATCGGCTTCGAGTGGAGGTGAGTTTGGTTCTGATTCGGCGTCTGAGATTGCAATGCCCAATGCTCGGTTACTTGGGGTATTGCCTTTGTGTTAGTGCTATAAGAGTGATACGTAATTGGAGAATATCCTAGAAACAAGCATATAAATTTGTTCTAAGGATGCATGAAGATAAATTAGTTGGATACATTTTCATGGCAGAACCGAAACAAGCCTTTAGAACTAGGTATTAGGTGAATGTTTCAGTTCTTAGATTAGATTATTGTTCATGTGGATTTTGAGTTAGTTTGACACTTTGACTAGGCACCCATCTACTAGCATTGTTATGGTAGGCTGTCTATGGAGGCAGGTTACCTCATCCCTGCAATGTTTATATTGTGACTATGTATGATTTTTTTTTGTAAAATTTTCTCTTGTGTTGTGAGTGGAATTTCATTTAAACAAACTGGTTTTGAACCGTGGATATTCTATCATACCTGATACCTGTTTGTCTGGGTTGTTGAGATGCTGATATTACGATTATTGAAGGCTAATCAGCGTTGGAGAGGGTGCCACTTAGGTGTTGCTGGGCCTCCCCTACTGTCCTTTTTGAGCGAGCTCCTATCCTTTTTGGCTACGACTTCCTTTCATGCTAGTTAGCCACCTAAGTGGAGATGAGGCACTAGGCAGCAGCCAATCGCTCCCCAAGTTTTGAATCGAATGCCTTCTACAACACGGATGTTAATATATTTATGATTTATGAATGTAGCATAACATAAACGAATTCTTTAGTTCTAAATGAAAATTTGATTTCAACTATGTTCCCTCTATATCTCAGTACCATTTCATGTTGTTCATTTGTTAACTGTTATTCAAACAAGAGTGCACTATCACTGTGCTCTCCCATTGTTGCTTTTTCTTGTGTTTAAAGTTGGAGTTAAGCTGGCTAGTAGTTTGAATCTTGCAAGATTTATATTTTGTTTACCAACGCTTGAATGTAATCTTTGTTGTTTTTTCAACACTTTCTTTGATGAAGTGAGAATGTGAAGCTTGCGGACTATATGTCAATCCAAACATAGCTCCATTAAAATTTAAATATCTTGTGAGCATGTCTTTGTTCTAACTTATTTCCTTTTTTCATCAATGCTAATCATTAAGCCCATGGATGTTTCTGTTCATGTTATATTATATATAAAGTCAGTATAATATATGATTCTATTTCTAGTAACTTCAACTTCTTGAATTCATTCTTGTTTTTATAAAGTTCTCTCCTAATTCTTTGTTTTCTTTGATTGACATTTGTTTATTTATGGTATACTAGAAGCTCAATCTCATTGACAAACAATTGAATTACTGTAGGGGAGCATATTTTCATTTTGTTTGTGGAAGTAACTCTTGTTTGTATTCAGGTAGTTGTGGTTTCTGAAGACCTTGGAAGTGCTGGTGCATTACGAGCTATTTCAAAGCGACTGACGTCAAATGATATTTTGGTAATTTTTGTGATTTCATACTATGCCAATGTTGACAAAATGTTGCACGATTCTAACAAATTGAGCTGTGTTTGAATAGGTAGTTAGCGGTGACCTGGTAACAGATGTGTTGCCTGGGGCTGTTGCTGCTACTCATAGAAGAAATGGTGCAGCTGTTACTGCTTTACTATGTTCTGTTCCTGTTAGTGGTCCTTCAGACACTGCTTCTTCGAGTGGGAAGGATAAAGCTAAAAAGCCAAATCGTTTGAACATAGTAGGGCTGGACAGGAGTAAACAATTCTTGTTGCATATCGTGTCAGGTTTGCTTACTGTGATTTCATTAAGTGTAATAGAAGGCTAGTAATGTCATGCATGCATGATTCTCATACCTGTCAATGTCACCTGTAGGAACTGATGTTGAAAAAGATGTTCAAGTTCATAAAAGAAAAATACAGGCTGTTGGTCAGGTAAGGCAGCTATTCTATGAAGTCAGCTACATTTGTTTCTGAGGAATTTCGAGTTTCAGTGCTATACTTATGTTGACATTGTTATGCATCATGATTCTTGAAAAACAAACAGGCCAACGTAGGTTGTGTCGGTCTCAAATTTTTGCAACTGGGTTGTCCTTGCAGTGATTTAGATAGACAAATCGGCGGCCCATGGGCATATAAGATATAGGAGTATTGCTGGACGATTGGGTTCTTGTCATAGACACTCGGAGTGGTGTATGGATCTCAGGAGTAAAAACTAATCCTGGGTTTTGGATGCCAAATAGGACTAACCATAGGCTAAAAAAATTAATGATGATTAATTGATGGTTAGACCGTTAGAGGCCATTAGAAAAATTAGTTCACATTTAGCCTATTACTGCACGATGACTAATTTTTAGCCCTGAGATCTAAACACCCCATAGGCATGGCAACTGTGGAGTATTTGTAGCATGGGAAAAATCTTGTGCTATATTGCTATTAGATTTAGCACTATACCTCTCACTAAAATAATTCAATGTTCACACAGTCATAAGCTAGCTTTACAGACTCAAAGTAGCTGCTGTTTATACTGACAGTCAAGCACAAATGATGACAGTCAAGCACAAATGATGAGTTGCACAAATCTGATAAGTAATAATTAAGAACTCACACCTCTTCATTTCCATTGGAAGCATCGGAAAAATGGAAACTTTCAGAAAGTCTATTTCAGCTTTCAACAATGTTCTCCTATATAAAATATAAAATGCATGTCTTTACTATTTGTCTTCTCTATTTCATATACTGGCCTTTTAATCATGTTCATAATGCTGTGTTGTTGGATTATGACATTGAACAGTATCTGGTATGGTCGTTCCTTTGGAGTTTGGGCATTCCTTTATTTTTTTGATATGATTATCTTTGGGGTGCATGGAGTAATCTTGTTACTTTGTTTTCTGCTGTTCTGTCTTATGTTATGGTTAGCAGGTCTTGAAAGTCAATAATGTACATAATCCAATGACTTCGCATTTCTAAGTTGAAGTGAGGTATTTTATTTTATTTTGGTTCTTTTTGCTCCTGTGTGCCTTCATCATGGGCACTGGTATAGGATGTACTTTTACCAAATATAAATGTATTTCAAAGCTTAATTCACCCTTTATTTTTTGATTTGTAAAACCTCCTTTTAACAAAATTGTGGCCTGTGGGTTGGTATCGCAAGACATGCCCATTTTGGGCAAAAACTTTAGTGCCTTAGCTATGGACACATTACTTGATGAAAAGTATTGAGTCTGTCAAATTTTATTGATTGCTGAGGCAATCTGATATAACCTTAAACTTCACAAAAGCACAACTTAGCTGTGAGAAGTCTGTAAATCTCATTCATTCTTTCTTTGTTGTCTGTGTACATTATTTGTTTACAAGTAACACAACAACTGCTAATATAGGAGTCATACTCTTCTAAGGAAGAAAGTGAAGAAACTTATCGTCCCTTTATGGATGATCTGTTCTTGGAACTGAATGATAGCTCAATTGGTAGAACCTCCAGTAGAGAGGCTCGCCCTCACCAGCCAGCTTTCCTGAGAACTGGTTTCAGCGAGTTTTCTAGCCAGCCAGGTTTGGGCACTGGCACTCCTTAAAGGCAAAGCCAGGGTGAAGTATTCTCCCTGTGGTCAAGTTCTTTTTTCTTTTTAAGATGGCCTCGGTCCCTTGATAGCTTAGTTGCAAGGATGCTATCATTTTTATAATAATTGCATTTTTGTTGGATGTTCATATCAAATTTTAATGGGAAGTAGTAACAGTCATGTTAATTGGGCTGTAATGATTTGGTTTAATTTAAATTCAGAAAAGCACTCAGTTTGAATGGTTTGATGAACTATAAGTTGAACTAAATATGCTATCCTTCTTTTGTTAGATGGAAATTCGAAGTGACCTAATGGATGCACATCTTTATGCTTTTAAGAGGTTAGTTTATATTTTTTTAACCTTTTGTGATGTCTTATTTGATCGTTCTTTTATATGCTCACACTAAAGCCATAGATTTTGCCATAATTTACTACTGGTCACAGGACAATATTGCAGGACGTACTGGAACAGAAGGAAGCGTACCGTAGCATTAGACTTGAAGTCCTCCCGTATTTAGTTAGGAGTCAATTGGTATGCTCATGCTTAATAACATGTATACATGTAACACTTTTGTCTGAAGCAGTATTGAACTGTTGTAAAATTGAACAGAGATCAGCTCCATCAGGTGGCAGTGGAACAGCGGTTGACGAAACTGGGAGTAGTGCTGTTCAGTCCAGTGGTAATTTGCATTGTTTGTCGCAGCATCGTGTCATTGCACCATCTGCTTTCAAGCAGGATGTACTATCAAGATCAAGTGGTGGACATAGGTGCTGTGCTTATATTGCTACTAAAAGCAAATACTGTCACCGCTTGAACTCAATTCAGTCATATTGTGATATCAATCGAGATGTAAGGATTTCATTCTACAGGGAATTATTTGTCACATGCACCACTATCGAATCATGATTAAATTATTATTATTTTGTATTTCAGGTTATAGGGGAAGCTAGCCACCTGTCTGGTTATTCGTTCTCTGCACAAAACAATATCATCCACCCATCCTCTGTTCTTGGATCAAAGACTACAGTAAGTCTGTTGAACTACTAGCAAGCTAGCATCATGAGATGGCCGCCTGAAAATACAGAACATATCATGAAATGAATTTAGGATGTGATTATGTTAGCTGCTACCATGTTGTGTGTATATATAAAAATATTCATTTGTTTGCTTTAACTAAGATAATATTGATCTTTCATTTGTGGGATTTCAGTATCTGTATGCTTCAGTTAAAATTGTTATTACTTTGCCATGTTGGCAAGCATTTAAAGAGGGATCATGACATGAAAGTACTTTTATTGAGAGGTTAATAATGGTTTTTCATGTGACAAATCTAAGACTTTTTTAATGCATGACAATTATCAAACTCTACAATGTTTGGTTGGCTGTCTAGATTATCTAGTTGACTTCAGAGGTAGTAATAAATTGCTTTTGGTACGTTAATAATTAGTTTTTTTTTTTCATCCAATTCTGCATGATGTTTGATGTTTGAAATGGTTACAATTTCTATTTTGGCTTATTTTGTTGTATTTTATGTTTGTTTAGATAGGACCACATTGTATTCTTGCTGAGGGTTCACAGCTAGGTGACAAGTGTAGTGTGAAGCGATCCGTGATTGGTCGTCATTGCCGAATTGGTTCCAATGTAAAGGTAATTCCCGTGTGACTTGTTATTTCGTTGCAATGATTTTTGTATGCTCTAGGTTTAAAAAAATTACTACCTCGATATCATGTTAAAAAGTTGTACTTGCTGGCTTATGTAGCAAAACTTGGAATTGGCATGTTCGGTGTGCATTACAGGGTACAGAAACTGGTTGTATTTGTAACCAGTAGTGTTCTTTTAGATATAGCCTGCTTAGGCTTAAGAGTGTTCCTTAAGCCTTCCTTGCAGAGGCATAGGTATCCATGTTTCTATACTATTATTCTTTGCCATTATGCTGTATTCCTTGGAAAAGGAGTCAATGTTCATAAACCTTTCAAAGATTCTGTTAACTAGCAAGATGCAATTGATAATATCTGTTTGTTCTCTGTAAGGTATCCTTTGTGATTGTCTTGCAATTATATCTTGATGCTTTATTGAATTACTGTTTTGCTTTAGATATCCATGCCAGATTTGAGTTCCATTCTGGGTTAAGCTTCTTTGTTTCCTTCTCATGAAAGAAATCATTTCCACCCATGCTGCAGATTGTCAACTCTGTTGTGATGAATCACGTTGTTATTGAAGATGGTTGCCACATCCAAGGTTCTGTTGTATGTAATAATGTTCAACTGCAAGAACGGGCTGTTCTGAAAGATTGCCAGGTACTCTCTTCTGTAATCCCTGTAGCAAAAAGAGAGGGACATTTTAAAAATGCATGCACAAGAATTGGCCAGCAATATCTTCCATTGTGTCAGTCTTACTAGGTCTATTTAATACTCCCTCCGCAAATTATAAGTCGACTTTTTTGGTACATCCATTTTGCTATATATCTAGATATAACGTATGTGTCAAGGGCCTGAGTATCGAGGGTAGGAGGCCCTCGGCTACGTAGATCGTAGCCTTGGTCCGTCTTCTCCGGTGAGGTTTTGCCCCTCTTCCGAAGGCTTGAGTGCGGTAGTGAGAGGAGAGAAAGTTCACGGTAGAATTCTTGATTGATTCCTCACACAATAGGATACAAGGCTTAATAGCCCTGCTTTTGCAACTAATTAAGGAAACTATCTCCTATAATTAAGGATCTCCTCTAATATCTCAACTAATTCTATTTCCTATCTTAGCCACTATTTTCCTTTCCTTCCTCGGAAGATCAAGGCGTGGCCACGAGATAGCTTGCAAGCCATTTCAGTGGCCTGTCAGTCCCTCAGCGCGTCTCACTTGGTGTATAGGGAGGCCCCACATGACATCTCTCCCCCTCGACTTGCGGCTCGTCCTCGAAATTTGGAATGAGAGATGCTTGTCGTGAACTCCTCCCAATCTTCCCATGTAGCAACAGACGCCTTGTTGTCCTTCCAGCCAAGACCAAAGACTTGTTTGATGCCCAAGGCGAGAGCGTACCACGCGCTCTGGTTGGGCACCATCTTTGACCATCAAGCCCAGCTCAAATATTGGCGTGGAGGTTGGAGGCGGGCCCACCCATTTCTTCAGAGCCCCCATGGAACACATCATGTATCTTGGCTTGGGGTGGGAGGGCAGACGAGCACCGCTTCGTTGATGACCTCGGTGACTGATAGGGCCCAAAGAACTGGCTGCATCTTCCCTTTGGCGCCAAGGACATAGAAGCTCTTGGCCGATTTGAGGCGCAGTGAGAACCAGCCCCGACGTCATAAAGCCTTTCGCACGGTGTTTGTTGTCGAGAACCGCTTCGGATGGCTCGAGCTTGCTCAAGCGATGGCGTACATCCTCCGTGAAATGCCTCGCTCGACCATTGTCTTGCCCAGTATGCCACCCGGGTGTCACCCTCTTCATAAGAACGGATGGAGGAGGGGCGGCCATATACACCACCGAACGGGGTGTCACGGGCGAGGATCGGTACGCCGTTGTACATGTACTCTTAGGCGTCGCCGGTGATGCAACGAAGGTACATGGTGATCACCTTGTTGGTTGCCTCGCTACCGACCATCGATCGGGATGGAAAGCCGGCGTCATATGCGACTTGGCGCCTATGAGCCTCATCAATTCTTGCCAAAATGTCGAAGTGAACACCACATCGCGGTCAGAGACGATGGATCGTGGCATGCCATTAACAATGTTGCCGAGTATGGGTGTAATGGGAGAAAGTCGCGATACTTGCTGAAACGGTCCACCACCGTCAAGATGACGGATTTGCCTCAGAGATCCCTATGAAATCAAGACCGATGTCCGCCCACACGGCATTGTTGGGATCGGCAGAGAAGCGGAAGAACTCAATGGCGGAGGAGATGCTCAGACTTGTTTTGCAAGTGGAGCACGCCCGCACAAAGTCTCGCACCACGCTTGGCGCATGCCGGAAAAAAGTGGGCGTCCGGCGAAAGACGATGAAGGTGCTTTGTATTTTCGCGTGGCGGAATCCTCATGGACCGCTGCCAGCGATTTCGAAGCGGCCAGCGGCGGCGGCGGAACGTGAAGACGCGGCCATCGTATGTGAGCAGCCGTCAAGTAATGGCCCGAGGAGCAGAGCTTTGGGGTGGATGGCTCGCTCTCTGGCGCAGCCGGTCGATGTAAGTCGAAGCGGGGTGCGGATATGGCGAAAGCACCGTGCCCTCGGCGTGTCGCGGCGAGACAAAGCGTCGGCCACCGCGTTCGGGCGCCCGGTTTGTACTCGACGCCGAAGTCAAAGCCAACGGCTTGCCCACCCTGATGATGTTGGGGATGGTCGCAAGCCGATCGAGGAGGAACTTCAAGCGTAATGATCCGTGCGATCGTAAACCGGCGCCCCCATAGGTACGGCCGCCCGATGGCGTCTGGCGTGCACCGAGCCGATGAGCTCGCGTTCATATCTTTGCGAGGAAGCGATGTCGGCGCCAACTTTCTTGAAAGTAAGCGATGGGGTGGTTCTCTTTGCGGTGAAGACGGCGCCAAATCCGTGCGTGGAGGCATCGCGACTCCACTATGAACGGCTTGGTGAAGTCCGGAGGCCAGGCACAGCGCCGACGTGACAACAATGCCTTGGCGCTGGAACGCCGCCGTGGCCTCGTCCCGCCCGGAGAAGCCCTCCTTCTTGCAGCGGTAGCCAGAGAGTCCGCGATGACGCCGTAGTTGTGGGACGAACTTGCGGTAGTAGCCCGCCAAATGATTAAGAAGCCTCTCGACCACAGCGCAACCGGCCGTGGCTGCCCCGAACGGCCTCCACCTTGGCGGGTCCATAGCCACACCATCGGCCGGAGATTGCACGCCATCGATGCCACCGCTGACGCGACTTGGACCGCTTGACGAAGAGTTGGTCTTTGCTGCGATCCGAGAGCACGCACGAACATGGCGCAGTGGTGGTCGGCCAAGAGGCGTAGATCGAATGTCGTCAAAAACACAAGGACAAACCGGCCGAAGAAAGGGCGCGAGACGTCGTTCATGGCGCTGGAACGCGTGGCGGTGCGTTGCAGAGGCCGAAAGGCATGACGAGGAACTCGTAGAGGCCGTCATGTGTGCGAAAAGCCGTCTTGTGGACGTCCTCCCGCCTCATGCGCACACGATGATAGTTCACCGCAGATCCAACTTGGTGAAGAAGCGGGCGCGTTGAGCTCGTCCGGCTTCGTCGACGATCGGGATCGGAAAGGCGTCCTTGATGGTGAGCGCGTTTCACGCCACGTAGTCGACGAGAACCTCCGAGAGCCGTCCCGGCTTCTTGATGAGGATGACCGCGACGAGAACGCCGAAGTCGCTCGGCGGACGATACCCGCCCATCATCTCCCGCATTGCCGCTCCGGCTCATCTTGTGGCCGCCAAGGTGCCGATGAGGCGCCTGACAAGAATGGAGCGGCGCTGGTCAGAATGCGTGATGGCATGGTCGCGGAGTGCGCTGCGGTGGCGATCTGGCAGTGCAAAGAAAGACGTCATTGAACGCGCCGAGGAGGCCGTCGAAGAGGTGCTGTCCCCAATGGTCGTCGTGGAGGCGCGATGCGCGCACCTTCGCCACATCGATCCAAAGAAATCGCCCGGCCTTGCCGAAAGTGAAGGACATGGTCCGACGGTGAAGTCCTGCATAATCGGTCCCAAGGTAATGAGCCACCGCTGCGTGCCCGTAACCAAGTCATAGCCGTGAGAGGCATGACATAGAGATCCACCAGAAGTGTTCGCGGCGACGGAGATCGGTTTTCTGCCGGATAACGCCGGGCAATGGATCGCTCCCGTTCGCATACATCGCCGCCGACGTGGACGTTCTTTGCACTTCCGATCCGGAACGGCGGGTCGCCGCTTCCTTAATGAAATTGTGGGTGGATCTCGTGTCCGGAGAGAGCCACCAGTGAGACCGCGCCCACGTCGACCCAAGACATGTAGTATGGTGTCGCAGCACCCGGCACACGGCTACGCAAGGAAAAAGACAGAGCCTCGGCATCTCGATGAGCAACCGCAAGCGCCGCCTCCTCTCTTCGATGATCGTGACGCCGCCCACGAAGAAGAAGAACCCTATTATGGCCCGTGTGTGTACTTCTCATCGCAGCGATTTGTAGCAGAGGCCCGGCGGCGACGATGCGCTTGTTCTTGAGATACCGCTTGATCGGGGTTTACCGGACGGGTGCAGCGCCGCTCCTATGGTCATTTGAAGCGCCGGCCAACCGGGGCCGGAGGCGCCAGGCGAAGAGCCTCGACCTTCTTGACGCCAGCGTGTGCCTTCCCTCGGCCGAATTGGCTGGCTGAAGAAGCGCCACCGCCTCTCGCTCCATGACCTCCACCCGCGCGCTAAGCTCATGGCGACCGCTAGCGTCGGGATTGTGAAGGCGGACTGGTTGCCGATCGGGAGGAAGCAGCCCCCGGAAGAGTGAACCCTCTGCGCCTCTTCAGTGGTTTCGCACGCGGGAGGGCGCTCAAACCGGTCTGGTATTTCCTCGACCGTCTGCCGTGCGCCGACATCGCGAGAGCTCGAGCAATGGCGCCGAAAGCGCAGCAAGCCGTCCGTAGCGGAGGTTGAGCAGGTCCTTAAAGCGGCGCCACGCGTCGGCACCCCTTCATCCTGCTGCACTTGCATATACCACGGTTGGGCATTGTCCTCCAAGTTGTAAGAGGCCATCCACACCTTTTCTTCCTCCATTATCCATTTGTTGGTGGAAGTAGGACTGCATCGATTGACGAAGACGAGAGGATCGGACTTGCCATCATAGCGGGGAAGTCGAGTTTCGGAACACAGGAGGCCGATCGGTGTGATGTTGGCCGTCTGCCCAAAGACCCCGACGGAGAGGCACCCGGGCGACGCCTTTCTCCTTCTTGGTAGCGCCCGTGTCGGATGGAGGGAGCCAATCTTGCCCGTGAGGCCCTCTATCATCTTGGCGAGGTCACGATCGTTGGCTCACCATGGCGGAGGAGGAGCGGATTCGGGTGAGGTGGGCGATGGAGGTGTGGCGTGGGGCGATGGTGGTTTGGAGGGTCGGCGGCTGCAGCAGATGAAGCTGCCGATGAACTGGAGGTGGTGGATCGACGTGACCGTGATACCAGGTTGTCAAGGGCCTGAGTATCGAGGGTAGGAGGCCCTCGGCTACGTAGATCGTAGCCTTGGTCCGTCTTCTCCGGTGAGGTTTTGCCCCTCTTCCGAAGGCTTGAGTGCGGTAGTGAGAGGAGAGAAAGTTCACGGTAGAATTCTTGATTGATTCTCACACACGGATACAAGGCTTAATAGCCTGTTTTGCAACTAATTAAGGAAACTATCTCCTATAATTAAGGATCTCCTCTAATATCTCAACTAATTCTATTTCCTATCTTAGCCACTATTTCCCTTTCCTTCCTCCAGAAGATCGGGCGTGGCCCTGATAGCCGCGCGCTCAGCTGCGCGCCTCTGGTCCCTCGCGCGTCTACGGCGTGTATAGGGGAGGCCCCACATGACAGTATGTCTAATCTATGTACCACAAAAGTCAAAGCAACTTATAATTTGGAACGGAGGAAGTAGAAAAAATAACCATTAGTGGCCAAAAGTTTGTTTTTTGGACTGTCAAGGTCCATAGTGATTTAATCTTGATCAGGAGTGGAGCTCCTTAGTTGCCCAGTGATGGTCTTATCATGTGGAGTGCAGCTGCTTTACCAGTTTGTTAACTGAAAAGGATGCAAAGCTTAAATTCATATTTAGTGTCTTATTCAGTAATTTCTTCAATCTCCCATTTTTCAGGTTGGAGCTGGTTATATTGTGACTGCTGGCAGCGAGCACAAAGCAGAATCCCTAGCAAGAAAGTTCAGTGAGCTTTGACTGTTTTGTTGGATCCTGAATGATTTTGTGTTCACTTGAGATGCACCCCCTTAGAGAAAAAAAAGGGTAGCAGTTCTTGTCCAAAATTTATATAATATGTCATTATATGTACAACAGCACAGTTTTGATTGCAGTGTAACAGTGCGAAAGGTTTTGTTGCTTATTCGGTACCAGTTTTGTACCAGGCTGCTTGAGCAAGTTGCATGCTGTCTTGAGCAGAACTTTTCAGCGAACGAATAGTGTTTTCCTTTCACAACAAATCAGCATAAGCCAAATTTCAGGGAAATGAACAGGGAAATTCTAGATCTGATTCCTCGCTGCAGGACTCACCTGTCAGTCGTGGGCCAAAACCGTGGGCCACCCTTGTGCATCCTCCTCTACCGTGGTCTGCCCCGCGTGCATCACGCCTCAGTACCTCACCCTATGGTGATGAGCACGGCTGATCTGCTCCGACCTGCCTCGGTAGCCGGCTAATGCGTGAGGAGCGTGGGCAGAATTTTGGCTGAAACTGGCTGAAAATACTGTTCTGACTGAATTGTTGTGAGAGAAAAATACTGTTCCGACTGAAAAAAGAAGCCGAACAAGCCGAATATGGGGTAAGCTGGAAAAAAGAAGCCGAACTTGCCAAGCGCCACACTCCCTCACTCTATCAAACCTTTCACTTGATGTGGGAGAGGAGGAGCTTTGCCCCGCCCTTAAGTTCATCGGAGCTATGCTCCTTCCCCGCTCTGGGTTCACTGCTGCCTCCTGTCATCCCGTGCCAAAGCTCTGCTTGTGGACACCTGGAGCGAGTCTATCTCCTCGTATTGGAGGGATAGGCTTGGCCTAAATCTTTGACGGACATTCTCTCCTCGTTTTGGAGGGATAGGCTTGTCCTAAATCTTTGACGAACATTCTCTCTGAGTGACGGTTCTATCTCTTGTGACTCTAATCCAAGCATCGTAGTTTTAGGGTAGCCTTGTCCCATCCCCGTGAGCCTCTCAACCAATTGTAAACTAGATTTTAGAATGTGAGGCGATTGTTTCACACAACGATGACGACTTTCTTTTAGCCTTTTTCTCTCTACATCATAAAAAATTCTACATGATTTTGTATGAGACGATCTATGAGATTGTTGATATGTAGCAATGTTTTTAGTGCCTTTTGGTCTTCCGCGTTGGTGAACACCGTCCACCAATTACATCGTGTTACGTAGGACAGTTATAAACTTATAATCAACTTGAAGCATGCCATCGTGCCAGCTCGTTTTATATGAACTTGAAGCCATCATGCACGCCGAATCCTCGCTCGGGCCTGTTTTAGATTGAGGTTAGAAATCAGTATTTGGCACTGTAGCATTTTCGTTTGTATTTGATACTTATTGTCCAATCATGGTCTAACTAGGCTCAAAAGATTTGTCTCGTAATTTACAATCAAACTATGTAATTAGTTATTTTTTTTATCTATATTTAATACTCTATACATGTGTGAAAGATTTGATACGACGAAGAGAGAGTAAAAAAACTTACGATCAAGGCTTACGATCTAAACAAGGCCTCGTGGGGTTTCTGGGCCTCAAAGCCCGTTTGTGCTGCCAAGGTCCGAACAGTCGGTATTCTTTTGAGACGGCGGACTCCTCCCTCGGCTGCTCCGTCCTTTGCTCGCGCCGCCGCCGTGAATCCTCGCTTCGCGACCCCGCCCAGCGCCTGCTGTCTATCTATCCGTGCTCCTGCTGAACTCCATCGCGCTCCTCCTGCCACATCGCCAGGGCCCTACTGCAGTCCCTCTCGAGTACTCCTCTCTCTCTCTCTCTCTCTCTCGTGGTCCTCCCGTGCCCCGCTCTCTGTGTCTAGTGGCGACGACTGTGCCGCCGCCCTACGCCAGGTATCCAGGTGTCCATCTTCGGCACTGCGCCGGCGACGAGCACCCACTAGGTACGCCCACCCCTTCTCGTCCGTTCTTGCTGTGCGAAACCGAGCGCCCATACCCTAGCTGGAGCTATTTGTATTCGGATCTGATCTGATCCAATTACAATTATGTCATGCCTACATTTTTTTTTCTTTTTTGCAGAAATTATTGGACCCATTTCCTTTACTGGGTCCGCCCCTGGATTCGAGCTTGGGGCCAAGTTAATTCGAGCTCTGAGCATTTGATTTCTAGTATCTTGCAATAAAAAAGCTAGCACTTGGAATCCGAGTGAGATCTAGCTCAGACAGTGCAGTGGCAGGTCATTTTCTCTGGCCAAGGTTTGTAATATCTTATAGCAAAAGCTTGCTTCTCACTGCTTGGATTTTAGCAAGATCTGGCTCCCAAAGTGTAGACTTGTAGACTGGCGTGTTCAGTCATTTTCAGGAGCAACACTTGTTTTTCCTCTAGAAGCCAAAATCCAAGTTTACTTATGCAAGTCTTCTTGTTTCCTCCCCGGAATCTCTGGGTTGTAGAGGTTGTGAAAGGTTTTATGCCTTTAGATCACCCTTTTAGAAAACATCAATCATGCTCAAATCTTGTGCATAATTTCAGCTATGCGTTTAGTCGGTCAGCTAAATTGAAGTATCCATTGGAGTTCTAAATGTTGCTCCTTTGTTGTTTTTGGGCAGGGCTTTTCAGTTCAGCGCAGCATATCAAGATTGTCTCTGTTAATTTGTGTATGAGATCAGTTAACTGATAAGGACATGTGAAGAACCAATGATCAGTAATTTGTACACTTCAGATCCAGATTGTAGTATCCTCTGAGATGGACAGAAGAGAATCAGGCTTATGGTAAATCCTGGTGAATATTCATGGGAGGTCAGCAAGTTCTGGCCTGACTAAGACTAGTTAAAAAAACAGTGCTTCATCTCATATCATCAATGGTGAGAGTGAGGTTCCCGAAACGTTATCTCATAGTATTGCTGACATTCATCTGCACAAATGTTTGCTACATTGAGCGTGTGGGTTTCTCGATTGCTTACACCGTCGCAGCTGATGCCATCGGTGTGAATCAAGCCAACAAGGGCATGATACTGTCTATGTTCTATTATGGTTATGTTTTATCACAGATTCCTGGTGGATGGGCAGCACAGAGAGTAGGAGGTAGACGTGTTCTGCTACTGTCATTTGTATTGTGGTCTATGATATGTGGTTTAATTCCACTCGATCCCAACAGAGTAACCATTCTGGTCCTTTCTCGCCTATTTGTTGGTGTAGCACAAGGTTTCATATTTCCTGCCATTCACACTGTTCTGGCACAGTGGGTGCCACCACAGGAGCGCTCTCGCTCTGTATCTCTCACTACCTCAGGGATGTATCTTGGTGCAGCCTGTGGCATGCTTTTCTTCCCAAGTCTGGTGAAGCACACAGGACCCCAGTCAGTTTTCTTTGTTGAAGCAGTGTTGGGAGTAGCATGGTCTGTAATATGGTTGAAATTTTCCAGCGACCCACCTCGTACTGATCTTCCAAAGGTATCAATGCCAAAAGTGGCATCTCGAGACATGATTAAGGCACAAGCAGGAGGGGTTGTCGCACCTCGGACGGTAAAGATCCCATGGCGAAGGATAATATTCAGTCTACCTGTTTGGGCAATCGTTGTAAACAACTTCACCTTCCACTATGCCCTGTATGTTCTTATGAACTGGCTCCCTACCTATTTTGAGCTTGTCCTTAAGCTTAGCCTCCAGGACATGGGTTCCTCAAAGATGCTTCCCTATTTCAATATGTTCATTTTCTCCAATATCGGTGGTGTGATTGCTGATCACTTGATTACAAGGAGGATTTTGTCTGTTACCAAGACAAGGAAGCTTCTGAACACCATCGGGTTCATTGTCTCAGCATTTGCACTCATGGCCCTTCCTTTATTTAGCACACCCTCAGGCACTGTAATGTGTTCAGCATTATCCCTTGGTTTTCTTGCTCTAGGAAGAGCAGGGTTTGCTGTAAACCATATGGATGTTGCTCCAAAGTTTGCAGGGATAGTGATGGGGGTCTCAAATACGGCGGGGACACTGGCTGGAATTGTTGGTGTCGGCCTCACTGGGAATATTCTGGAGGCGGCAAAGGCTTCTAACAAGGATCTAACAGACTCGGAAACCTGGAAAACAGTCTTCTTTGTTCCAGCATACCTTTGTATTTTCAGTTCTATCATTTTTTTAATCTTTTCGACTGGCGAAAAGATCTTCGAATAAAGGGTGGTTATTTTTTGCCAATTCTTTTCTTCTCATTTACAGTGAGGCAGGATAGCAAAACGGGAATCTCACATGTATCTGTAGCATTTGTTACTAAATTTCAGATTTCAGACAGCATCATACACATGATCAAAAGGAAAACTCACATTTTCATTATGAAGGCTCATCTCATTGGCACAGTCGCACTCACACGCTGAATGCAGCTAACAGAATTTGATGTTCACCAAGTTTATCTTATCTTCTTGGTTTTGGTACATATAATCTCACCCAAAGTTTGTCGAGTACCCTTATCTTTGCCCTGCAATGTAAACATATGATGATCCCAATGAGAATAAACGACATTGCCATTTGCGTATCTGCATGACCCTTGTTGAGTTTAGGCAAATTCACTAGCTTAAATGCTCTGAACCATTTTTCGTCTTTGGATCTTTAATTCTTTATTTGAGTTGTGGTCATAGACTTGGTCTTTCAAGCATTTGCTGAATTCACGGTTCAGGTGTGCGTGTGTTTACTTAGTAGTATATGGTGTTTTTTTCTGCCCTGATGATATATTGCCTTGGTTAAATGCTTATCCTTTCTCAATTCTTCATTCATCCCTTTTAAGTTATTTTTTCTTGTCAGCACAGGATTTCTTGACTATTTGACTTCTCTGAATGTGCATGTGCAAGGGCTAGATGAACACTGACCATATATTAGTTGAAGCTTGGTTGTGCATGCTGCATAGGGCGTAGCGGTTTCTTCCTTCTGGTTTTCAAGTACTGTGCTTATTATATCTGAAAAAAAAAACATGTGCAGAAAGTATATAATCTGATGCCAGTTTGGAACTCTTTTCTCAATGATGATGTTTGCTTCAACTGGAGGTCCTAGATTATCGTTATACGCGTTCAGAAAGGTTGTTGTCACATGCATCTTTCGATTGGAAACATTTGGGCTGGCCACATGTCCGCGTGCTCTTTGCTGACCACGGCGGCCGTGCAGCACGACAGCACCGCACCCTTGGTGGCTTGGTGCAGCAGACAGCACCGCACCCTGCGCCATGTGCGGAGAACGTGCCCATCCCATCATTCCAGTGCCCCAACCCCAGGGCCAGGGGCCCGGACGGCCGGACCTCTTCGTTGAATCGCTGTGAGTTGTGACGCCCGGCGCACGTAAGAGGAGGGAGTACCAGATCTGGGGCTGGGCAGTGGCAGGAATGCAGGATGGTGTGCGTTCATCATGCGCATGTTGCTAGCCAGCTATTTGCGCTTCTCGTCCGCCACTCCTGACGCATTCTAACGGCTGTTCTTGGGGCCCTTCATCTCTTCCCCTGCAAGCTTTCCGGTAATCAAGATCCTGTTCATGTAAACGACGGCCTGCATCAAAGTTGGAAGCTTTGAAGGAAAAAGGTCATTTTTTTTGCCTTCTCGAAATATCGTCCTAGTTTAGTTTCTCATCGAACTCTAAAATCGGACAAATTATCGTCGTCGACCACCACTTCAAAACCGTTTAAATTAACTCTCGGCCTCTGTTAGTAGTTATTTCCAAGATGGCTTTGTTATTTCACCTATCGTTAGATTTCTACCGTAACTGTTCGTTCCTTTTGGTTTGACCACTGGCTTTCCGATGGGCCTCTCTGTTCTTCCCATGCTGCCCTTTTCTCTCATTCCACTCGGCCTAACGTCTCGGTGCAATGTGTTTTTCAAACAGGGTTTGATTTGTGCTTAAGGCCCCGACTCACTAACGCTGCTAGTACTCAGCTAGACAGCCTCATTATTTGTCTGCAGGGTTTTAGTCTCAGTGACGGTCCAGATGAAAGGCTACTGAAGATAACCGGCAAGCCGTACACATCCAAGGGCGCATATTTAGCACTTGACCGTGAACAAGACGACGCCGGATGCTCAAGGCCAACGCATTTGGGGCACCCGTTTACCGAACAAAGTCAAGATTTTTGCCTGGCTTTACTTTAAAGACAGACTGAGCACACGGTTAAACCTCCACGCAAAGCATGTCCTGAATGATGACAAATGCGAACGGTGTGCTGGTGCAGTGGACGATAGGTACCACATCTTCTTCTCTTGTCCAGCCAGCAAAGATGTCTGGGAAAGGCTTGGAATGAGCACCATCTCCAATCTGGCCGACGATGAGATTTGGAATGCTAACACACCTCCTGGATTGGACGCGAAGCTTTGGCCATTTGTCTTGTTAACAATACTCTCGCGGCTGTGGGATGCTAGAAATGGCGAAGTTTTCAGAAATGAAACTGCTTCTAGCCCGTACTATTATTACTCGAGTTTGTGATGATTTTGTAATCTGGCGCAAACATTTAAAGCAAGACCATGATGTAAACAGTCTAAATGACTGGCGTAGCTACCTTCTCTCCTGTAACTCGATTACTCAATCCAGTTGACTGGTTCGAACTCTTTTATTAATACAATTTGGTGGGGAAGCTCTCCCCCCGTTTCGCTTCAAAAAAAAAAAAAATTATGCAGTTTTTGAGCGATTTAGGAGTTTTCATACTTCCTTCGCCCTGTAACATAAGGGACAGGGGAGTAATTAGAATTTCATCCTCTAAAATTCTTTTAAAATATAATGGAAAAAGTAAAAAAAAACTTATTAAAATTATTCGTTTTAAAATATTTGATTGAAATTCAAAAATTTTATTTGTTTTCAAATGATCTCAAATGGAGGCCTGTTCTATATCAAGGTTGTATAGTGCACAACAAGATCTAAAACTTCCTTTTTGACTTTTTTTCATTTGAAATCATTTAGAAGCTTAAATATTTGATAAAAGATGACAGCTGAAAAAATAGATAACATGTCGGGCCCAGGTGCCAACTCAACCAAAACCACACGACAAACCAATTTGAAATGATCAAGAGAAAGATTTTGCACGGCTTTGAAAGTCGGAGAACTTATGATTTCTCATATTTAGGGTTGAAGGGTGGTTTTCAGACTCGAAGACAAATTCAAAGGGTAAAATGGAATTAAGTCCAAAAATACAATCTTCCATGTAGTTCAACACTATATGGGCATGTTCGCTCGGAGGAATTTGGATGGTTTGGAGGGATGCTGGAGGAATTTGTGAGAGAAAAATACTGTTCCGGATGAAAAAAGAAACGGATCAAGCCAAATTTAAGTGCACGCGAACGGGGCCATATATATATTCACTTCCCAATCTTCATGAAGCCCAGCAGGGCCGCAAAGCCAAAACCATCATCCCCGGCTTGTCGTCGTAGATCACTAGGTAGCCACCGATAAGGGTTTGACTTACCTTATAATCCGTACTATTTAGCTTATTTTTTCAGTCGGAACAGTATTTTTCTCTCACAACAATTCAGCCAGAACAGTGTTTGCAGCCAATTCAGCCAAGTTTCAGCAAGCCGAACGGGGCTATAGAAACCATGGTCCCAATGGATAGTTTCTATAGAATAATTTTTTATCCAATTACATATATTCTCTCTCCATTATCTACCAATCACATCCCTTCATGTCTTGGTTCTCGTATAGACATGGTTTCTAACTTAGACCCGGTTTCTATGATTTTTGCTCTCTCTCTTCAATAACTACCTTACCACATCAGCAAAACACTTAGGTGACAATATAATTAATGTCCATATAAACTATGATGATTTCTGTATTGAGAGTGCCCCGAGGCGATGCCTACACCGTTTTTTTTATGTCTGATTCCATCTCCGAGCCATAAGTTTTCGACAGCCGCATCCATCTCATTCTCATCACCATAGGAAAATGGGGACTGAGATGATCTTCCAGCTCGCACACACGGGGCATGCCTCAACGCCCGCCTCGCACCATTGCACAGGCACAGGTGACGGCACGGTAGCAGCATCACGCAAGCTTGCGCCTTGCCCAGATTCCATTTGCGCGGTCGTTCGTTCGATGGGAAGAGAGTGAACGGTCTTACAGACCGCGTGCATCTCACTGGCGTGGCTCCCCTCCCAGTTGGCTTTTGCATGCGCTGATGTTAGCGCTGACACAGGCAAAAAAAAAAAAAAATACAAAATATTTATTTCAAAATGCTATAACTTTTGAACGGTGTATCTGTTTTTAATTCCATCTGTACTGGTGTGTTCTATACGACGAGTGAACAAAACTAGACCCGATTTGCATATATTTTTGAAGAAATTTTTCAAGTGATAATTTATATATATTAACTTATAACATATAACTTATAACTTACGATTTATGCACATAATTTGTATTGAATAACTTATGTACATAAGTTTTATAGAATAAATTATATACACAAGTTATGTTTGATAATTTTTGTACATAAGTTGTGTTCATAACTTTTGTGTTTCTAAGCTTTGGTATAAATTATAAATTAATTCTTTCCTTTGTGTGTTAATAATTTTTATGTTTGCAAGTTTTGGCATAAATTATAAGTTAATTTGCTCCATTGTGTTTAATAACTTTTTTTTTATATTAGTTGTGTTTCATAACTCTTGAGGTTTCAAGTTTTTCACGTAAGTTATACGTTATATACGTTATAAGTTTTTTGGTATAAGTTATATGCTAAGTTAATATATATAAATTGGTAGTAGAAAAAAATTCTTCGAAACATATGTAAGTGGGATATAGTTTTATTCGTCTCGTCGCGTAGAACACAATGTTGCAGACGGAATTAAAATAAGATACACATTTCAGAAGTTATAACATTTTAAAATAAATATTTTACTTTTTAACGACGTCAGCTGTTCTTGGAAAAGCGCGCAGGAGAAGAGGTGCACGCGCGCAGGTGCAGCTGCTGGTTGGATCATTCCGTTGTGTGGCTGCCAAAAAAAGAAAAAGGTGGGATTTTTTTTTCAAAAAGATTTGTCTGGAAATTATTCGCTTGATTTGTTTTGGGTGGGCGTTCGCCATTTAGCGAGGTCGGCACCTTGCCGCACGACCAGCATGCCCTCTCAGATGGTCTGTTAGGGCTTATCTGCAAGCAACAGCCACAATTCGACTCACAACTTGTATTGAAGCACCATTTGTATGTATCTAGGGTAACAATCGAT